GTGTCTGGCTGGATCGACCATGAAACCATTTGATCCGCAAGCACGCTCAGAAGCGGAGATGATCCGCATGGGAGATCCCTCGGCGAAATTCATTGTAAACCCTGGAACCGGGGCGGAACAGGGCACCATCAGACTAAATACTTGACCACGAGTGTTCGATACACTCCGACCTTTTCTGGAAGATTTTGAATGAGAAGCACGTCGCGTGCGCATATATTACCAATACTCCCGCCCATACGACCCATACGGATGAGCATTGTCTATCAAGGAAGAGGTGGAAAGAGAGCTCAATGAAGCAATCAAGAATCCTGATTCGAATAAGAAAGAGGATGCTATCAAATTCGGTAGACTCGGTAGATTCTCGTTGGCCTTGCGTGCTATACGCTGCCTTGACTGACGAATTTACTTCCATGTGCTCTGTAATCGAGGATACTGACTGCCATTATCGGGACGAGAACGAGCCAGATTAACGACCCTAAACAGAACTAGCTCTTGGCTTCAGAGGAAGACGACGACAACAACAGTGAAGATTCCGACGATGTAGACATTTCCAGCTTTGAACATGTGGATAGACAGAAGTTACGACAACAACAAACAAGAACAAGATAGCGAAGAAGGAAGCGAAGACAGCGAAGACCACGTCGAAAGTGAGTATGGCGTCTCCTTGCCAGATGGAGTAAGCTACGCTGGGATTCTTGGTCTGAAGACGAATTCTAGTATTCTTATTGAAACCACGTACACCCACTAGATCAAGTATCTCACGACCTGAGCGGAGGGCGTATGAAGCCGCTTGTAGGGTGCGACTCTTCTCAAACGTGTACAAATGCAGAGTGACAAGAAGATTCCCGTTTTCGCAGAGCTCAAGTATTCTGCATGCATATCTCGCCCTTGGTGTTTGATCAGATATATCATTACTTAATCTCCAATCCATTCCATCACTTCGTCTTTACATACATACATACACAATACACAGCACACAGCCTAGCCGTTCCAGCCCACCCTAGGGTGAAAGGAACTGAACAACCCGACACCATAAACCTTTTTCTAAAGCCTTCATAGCAACCGGGTCTTTCTTCCATATGATGAACGCCAGCCTTATTGTACAAGTTGGGCAGAGCCCGCAGAGTGGTGATGAGGGTGTAGAGGAAGATACGCTAAGATCGCACTCGTGTAAATGCTGGACAAACGTCGAACGTAGTAGAAGTTGAGAAAAGATGGCTGCATGCCTGTTTTTTGGAATAAGGCTCGGTGAGGCAGCATTTTGTGAGAGATCCATTTGCTCGGGGCAATCGCTTCTGGTTTAGGAGTTTAATCGACTGATTTTAGGTCAGGTTCGAAGAAGACTTTTCGTGTTATCTGGTAGGCTGTCAGCTTTTTACTTTATAAGAGCAGATTATGGTGCGACGTACCGCCCATCCTCCTGCTACAGAGGCGCAGATTCCTGAGCTAATAGCCATCTGCCTTGTCCCTCTTGTGCTCTTGAACAGCGCACCGCTCAAAGCTCCCGCCACCACGCTGTTGCTCATATCGTGCTTGCCCCGGTAGTACCCAATAGTGCTGTTCATGCCGTTGTACACCATGGCAATCACACCCGCGCTGTTTCCCAAGAAAGGCCCTCGTCGTGTTATCGCGTTGAGCACACCGTTGATTCGCAACCGTGGCGCCATGCTAGGCGGGTTCTTTTGTAGTCCTTCAGCAAGCCCCCATGCTCCTCCAATAGTCAGCGCAGAGAGGTATGATACACCTGTGCCGTAACATAAGTCGTCTGACCAGCCGCGGGAAGGCAAGGCGGATTGTGCGCCAGGCAGGTCGGATAAGACGGAATCTTCTAGTGACAGGTAGTCGAGAGTGTCTTGGTTGAGGCCTGCGAGAGGATGTAGTTGCGAGGGGTCGAGGAGAAATTCTGAAGGATTTTGGATGGCCGTGTTGGGATCGAAGGGTGTGGGCTGGAAAGTGTCTTCTTTCACAAAGTCGGAATTTTGGGGCGAGGCGGATGCCGTGTCCTTGGACTTGCGTCCGGTGAGAGAGTCCCAGCTAGAGTGCCAATTAGCATGGCTATGTTTTCGGGTGTACGGATTGGGAATAAGACATACATGCCCATGTCGAGGAGACTAGGTGGTGATGGCGGAAAGAAATGACCAAGTGTTGCGCCTGATTGCCCACAGCCGAAGTGGTATTCCCCCCAGACGCCCGAAAACCTAAAACAGACAGGCCGAGCTAAGATAAACAAGCAAGTGACGCAGGTGGTGGATGCGCAAGCAGGAGGGGCGTGTGCTGGGGCGTTGGCGGTGATACGTCGCGAGTTGAAAGTTCTGAGCAACACATCAAATCAGTGACGACGCTTCCAGAAGGGTCCGTGCTTCCGAGCTCGGAAAGAAATGTCTGAATATCCTCACCCACTTCCGAACCCAAAAGCATCAACGGTAACAGAAAAATCAACCATGTCGCTACCAGAGTTCAAGCAGAATTTTCTCAAGGACTGCGTGTCAGCCGGCGCGCTCAAGTTTGGCACCTTCACACTGAAGTCCAAGCGCATATCACCCTACTTCTTTAATGCGGGACTATTTCACAGAGCCGACCTGCTACGCTCCATATCCTCAGCGTATGCGCACACCCTCAAGGCACATGGCGAGTCAGACCCTTCGTTCCAGTGGGACATTCTGTTCGGACCAGCATACAAGGGAATTCCGCTTGCAGCAGCATCAGTCGACAAGCTTGCAGACCTTGATCTCGCCAAGTATGGACAGAAGAGCTACAGCTTCAACCGTAAAGAAGCAAAGGACCACGGTGAAGGCGGAAACATTGTCGGTGCAAGTCTGAAGGGAAAGAAGATTGTTATCGTTGATGATGTCATTACCGCTGGTACTGCAATCAGGGAGGCTATTGATATCATCAAGAGGGAAGGTGGAGAGCTGGTCGGCATCATCGTTGCTTTTGACAGGCAAGAGAAGACACCTACTCCCAATGACGAGGATGGAAAGCCAGGACCAAGTGCGATTGGTGAGGTCAGGAAGCAATATGGCATTCCCGTTCTGGCTATCCTGACGCTGGATGATGTTGTTCAGTATTTGAGGAGCTTGGGTGGTGAAGAGGATCTGAAGAGGCTAGATGAGTATCGGGAGAAGTACAAGGCGAGCGATTAGAGCGCCCTGGATGAGTATCCACCAGGTTACGGTTATGGGAGTACGGTTGATGGCGAATGCCGGCTGCGAAAACGCCGCCTAGGATGCAATTCAAGCTGCAAGCACTCCAATTTCACAACGTTCCTCCGGCCCCACGAAGCTGTGCCTGATCCTGAGCGTCAAGTGATACGTTCAAACCGAGCACTTTATCATTGATATTCATGAGAAGCAGCCTCGTCTGAAGTCACTAACGATAGCTATCGTCAAGCATGGAAAATCCATGTCATAGATGTCGTAGCCTGTTAAACCGCCCCGAACGCCAAATTGCAACGTCACTGAGCCATCACAAATCCCTTGAGCTTAAGCCTTCTTAGCGAACTCAACACGCAAGATGAGATGACCGAAACCGACTGAAACCTGTTAGCATCGTTCGATATCACGAACTTGTTCTGAAACTTACATCCATCCATCTTCTCACACGCCTTAGCAGCATCCGATCTGTCTGCGTAACTGACAAAGGCAAAGCCCTTCGCACGGCCAGTTTCCCTGTCCTTGGCCAAGAACACCCTCGTGACGTGTCCGTATCTGGAGAACATGTCGCGTAGATCCTGCTCCTCGGCGAATTCAGACACGTTGGTGACACGGAGGGTTGCGCTATCGTCCCGGTCGAACTTGCCGCCCATCTTCTCACCAGCACCAGCACGTCCACGCAGATGCGGGGGAACGTAGCCTCCAGAGCCAGTACCCAGGCTTCCTCCTGCTCCGACGCCGGGTGCGTCATCGGGCATATCTGCGGGCGCGACGTCGCCCTCGGGAGCCATGGTGTCCTTGAAAGGACATTTTGTGGTGAAATGGTCGCCCTGGCAAATACGACACTTGATCTTTGCGTTCTTGAGTTCAGCCTTCTTCTTCGCCTCGTCGCCCTTGTCCTCGTTGCTGGCTTTCCAGTTCGATACCGGTCGGAAGGCGATGTTCTCAGCGACGGAGACGGTGTCCGTTTGCGGGCCCGCGGGCTTGCCCTTCTCTTGTCCGAACTTTGCCCATTGCTTTCGCTCAGCCACACGGGGGTTTACAATCTGCTTGACGACCGTCTTCTTGATGCGCCTGGTGGTCTTGTATTTCTTGCCGTCTTCTCCGATGCGGTAGGAGATGACTGTCTCTGTTCCGTCCTTGTTCTTGATGACTTGGTTGGGTGGGAGGGAGGTGAGGGACTCCTCGTCGTCTTCTTCCGCCCAGTCGGTGCGGCTACAGGATTAATGTCAGCTCACCAGATTCTATAGTAGGGCTGGTGTGTATGCGGAAGACCGTCTTTTGATGGGCCATGGTCCGGGGGCGGCGGGCGCTCATGGGCAGAAATACGTGCGCGTAGACTCACCCTGCAGGTCTTGACATTCTGGCGGTTGTGGTTGCGTGTTGTGAATATTGCCGTCGGTCGTAGTCGGGGGGTCCCTTATGATATAGCAGAAACGAGAAGTGGCGGTAGCCTGTGGGGCAATTCCAAGGTTCAATGTGTGCGCTCCGCCGCCAAGATTTCGCGCTAATAGTTGCGACTCATCACTCCCTCTCGTCACCTGTATAAGCCATGGAATGCACAACAAGCTTCGCTGTACAGATAATCTCTGCTGTCACAATTGTACAGCTTTGCATATTCATCATGACATCGGCTGATAGCTCTATTCCAGTCTCACACAAGATACGCCCATGAGTCACAGTTGGAACTGGGAGCCACCATTAATAGAACCCTAACCAAGATGGAAACATCGGCACACTAACAATACTGTTGATTGACCAGATCAAGCATCTAAATACAGCTTAGGAATACCCAAAGTCCATCATTTCCATGACCTCAAACAGTCGATGACTCGAGACCCGATTCTTCTACCCTTCAGAGCCCAGATTCCATTGCACCCTGCCTCTTCCAGGCCCCTGGAACTGCCCAACGGGCATCGGCTTAGGTTGCTGGATGATATCGCTGTTGGTCCTCGGGACTGTCTGCACAAAAGCCTTCGGTGGGCTAGTAGCCGTCTGAAACGCTGTATCACTACTGCCTCTAGGAAGCTTGGGCTTTTGGATGTGGTGGTGTGAATAAGGCGTGTTGAAGTCATTGACGAAAGGAGTTTGCGATGGTGCCGAATTCGGGGGTGGTGGAAACTGTGGCGACTGCTGCACCAGCTGCGGTGAACCTTGCGTGTAGTCGATGAGGAGGCTGCTTCTCGTAAGTATGCCGATGCCGATATTGTGAAAAGAGTCTTACTCCTGTGGTTGAGCACTGCCTCTACGACTTGGCTGGACACTGCTTGCTACGCTACTATTTCCACCCGCTATGCTACCAGCTGCACTTCCGAACATTGCTGCATGGTGTGACTGTGGCGTGGCGGGCAACCAGCCACTACTCGTGATGCCCTCGGCATCCATAAGTCGTTGGAGCAGATCTTCGGTGATTACAAGCAAGTGCTCCAAGGCAGCGAGACGCGAGTCCTCCTTTGCAGAGCAACAATGCACGTACGATCTACTCGAAGGATTGTGTTCGACGATGCAAGCTCCAATTTTTCGTGAGGAAGTCGGGGCGAAACTTATCACGTCTAGACAACGATTCGGTCCATATATCGCGCGCGCGTTCGCTACATCAGATCAGTCATACGGATCCAACAACGCGATGCTAAGGATAGTGCCAACCGAGTACTCTTGTCCGAGTGCTTTCCAAGGAGTCTTCCGAGTCCTTGTCCTCCATGCGATGCAGAATTTGGCTCGCCGTTCGTTCTAGCGCCAGGCTCTCGTAACTGCCGCTCTTGCCGTGCTTCATTTCTTTCAGTGTCTCGATCATAGCGGTCAGCCGTCAAGACCCGAGAAAGGGTTGACTTCCTAGACCTGTTCGACTGTCCTGATGAGGATGCGTTGGAGTCGCCGGTATTTGTGCGCCTAAGTGGTCCAAATTTCTCGAACGCTGTCAGTTCTTTGGTGAAGTATTTGAGAGACGATGTTCGTAGAAGGTCTTTCTCTGAGCCTGTGCGACTCAAAGCTGGTGAAGCCCCAGCTGATCTTGATCCGTCAAGCTGACGAGAAACCCTCCGCCGGTGGAGCCGAAGCTGCTGAAGTCGCTCTTCTTGATGTGCTGCTTCCTTGGTACGTTGCTCTTGTCTGGCAAGGTAAACGTCCCGAACGCTACTGTATTTGTCGAGGCGATGGGGATTCTTGCTATGGTATGGATTGAGCTGAGGACCCAGTGCGATCTTCTCCGCAAGTGTTGGTGGGAGAGCCGGCTGCGAGTGTCTTCTTGGTCTGGTAGACGTTTGTGACGCGCTTGAAGTGCTCGACCTAATGGACGTTGGTCTATAACCGGATCCTGTGGAGTTAGCTCTCGCGAGGCCGGGTCGCCCGTATGGGGGATCCAGGATGTTTGTTTCCTGGATGGTTGCTAGCTTTAGGTTCTGCCGATATTGTTCTTGCCAATACCAGGCGGGCGGTGCGCAGATGCCACAGGTGAAGGGGAACGTTGTTACGTTTGCGGATTGACTCTACTGAAAAGTTGACATCTGCTCCTATTCCAGGTCGTATTTCTTTTATTCCGGAGCCAAAGCCATACCTAACGTGCAGTTATCAGCTTCGAAGCCAACAGACTTTAGCTGCAGATGCAGGTCTGTCACCGTATGGAGTAGGAACAGGAAGAGCTGTGAGCAGCGCAGTGTCCCGAGTGATGATGGATGTCGAGAAGTATCGTCAACAGCAGTGGGTCAAAGGATAGGATAAAAACAACACTATGGTAGGAGGTGACGGGTACGAGTCGAAGTGTCGGTGCTCAAATAGGATATTGTTTGATAGGCGCAAGGTTGTGTCGGTAAGCGATCAGCGATGAACCTGTATGGAGAATCTTGAGGAAGCTGGTATGGCGTTTGTTGTTTGCTGGGACAGCAGAAGCCTGTTGCTTCCCAATCTGCCATACATCAAGCACTCTTACCACCAAACAAGAAGGAAGTGCGTTCGTCAAATTTGTACTAGAATGAAGCAACAAACGTTATTACAGAGTATGGCAATCACAGATCGTGGCGCTTGCAAATGAGCATGTTCATAAAATAGACCGTGTTATGGTGCCGTCAAGTAAATGTGTTCGCAATGCTCCTTGCGACTAATGGAAGCCTGGAGTATCCAGTGGTCCGGCCGATGTTTCGATCATTCGCTGTTCAAATGTACAGCTTATCTGCTATTTCACAATACTGATATGCTGACTGCAATGAAGCAGGCCAGTGGTCACCCTGAACACTTACACAAACATGAGAATTGTAAAGTATAGAGATGAACGGTATCTAAGCATTTTGAACAATAACCCGCACTTTGTCCCACCGATGGTATCCTGCCCTTTCATGTTCCGATCTTCCATGCAAATGCCCACACACAAACGCTTCAAGTACAATTATGCTATTCGATATACACTACACCACGCACCAAACATACGACTGTCCTACTGGCCTATGGAGGCGCTCAGCTTGCTCATTTGAAGTAGGAGCGCAGAACATCTTAGCTGCTCTTCAGTTTCTGGCGCGTTCACGTTTCGAAACAGGAGCTTTGGTTCGGAATCCAGCATCTAACCAGAGAACCTGAACCGCGAGGCTTCCAGTCTGCCGAGACCTTCACGGGGTGCCACATTGCGCCGGCGATAGCTAGTAGTAAAGTCCTGAAGAATGGTCCTGATCATTCTGACATCGCCAGTTTGGATACGTTGTCGGATATTGTTGAGGAATCGCTCACTCTCTTGAGGCGTGATGCTGCCCTGTGGTAGCATTCCAACGGTACTGGCAACCCATTGAGCGACTTGCTCAGGCATGAGCTCGAAGAGATCAAGGAGTACACCAGAAGAGTCGGCGAAGCAGCCTTCAGGGAAGCTGTACATCATTCCAGTCATGATACGCTGAACTAGCTGAACGCCAGCACCAACAACGAGTTGCTTGACGCGGTTTCGCAGTTGCTCGGGGACGTCGTGACGGGTGTTGTCGAAGCTAGATGAGGGCGATGAGTTGCGACCGTAACCGAGCAAATCACGTAGGAAGTGGAGCACTGCGATGATAGGGTCTTCTTTAAGCAGTGTCAGAGAGCTGCAGGCTGCGAGAAGAACAGTGTCCATGAGTGGCGACATGATCGACTCTGAGGGGAAATAGAGTGCCATGTCGGCAGCAAGGCGGAAGTAGTCTTCGATAAGGTCTGGAAGCTCTTCAGGTGGCAGATCGCTCAGTATGCGCAGGAAGGTCTTCGCTTGCTGCTCATAGAACTGGTAAACATCATTCGCCAGACTTGGGTCAACGTCATCTACACCTTGTGAGAATTCCCGTACGATGGATGCAGTCGCCCAAAGGAAGCAGCCCTGCCTCGACTTATCGAAGCCCTCAATCAGCTTGGTTGCAAGATCAGGCAGGAGCGGACGCATCGCTGTACGATAGGAGAGCACCATGTATCGCCAGCACCGACATACACGCTCCAGAATAGGTATGCTTGTGTTGAAGTGTGTGATCATATTGGCAAGGGTAGGGAAGATCTCCTGGCAATATTTGACCGCTGGATGTTCCTGTCCAGGCGCAATCTCTGGTCTAACCATCTCGAAGAAAATGGTCAGTAGGTTGATCTTGTCGGCGATGAGCTTTTGGTCCGCCTCGTCCTTTGCTTGTCGCGCAATTTCGATCAAGTGGGCCATGACCGGGTCGAGATACAGCTTGAGTGTTGCCAAAAGCTGTTCGTTGGGTACCTTGGCGACTACTGAAGCAACACCTTCGGTGATCTCCTCTTGGCTGCTGATTGGTAATTTGTTCAGATTCTTTGCGTAGAACTGTTGCAAGGGACCGACAAAGTTTACCAGTAGGCTTGCGCAATCGTTGCAGAAGAACTTGAATGATAGCGCAGCGGCTCGAATAACGTCCTTGGTAGAATGGTCGAAGGCGGCCATGATGTAATCCAATTGCAGCTGTAGCGTATCAGGATGTTGTGCGGTCCATTCGGTATATCTTCCGAGGGCCATCACAGCTTGGAATCGCAGCTTGTGATGGTCGGGTATACCCGCGATGAGTGGGATCAGACGAGGCAGCATAATGTTCTCATCTGGAGGTACCATGCGACCCATAGCTCTGACAGCGAACAGGGGCGCTTCCAGCTTTTGCCACTCGGGCACATTGTTCGGACCAGCTTGAGCGCCGTAAGTCTGGACCCATTGCTGCATGAGATCATAGGGCTTTTGAAGACACTCTACGACACCCATAACCTCGCAGCAGTCCTTCAGCACATCGCCCATCTGATGACGGAACTCACGGAACTTTTCTTCCTGGTCACGATCGCCTTCGAACAGATCCTTCTCGTCACCAGTTTCTGGCTTGGGAAATTCGAGATGGCCGATCATGATGTCCACTAACTTGGAGTAGATGTCCAAGCACTGGTTGCGTGCTTCGGCGTACTTGTCGATGGTGAGATATTGCTTCAGGTCGTACCAGAACTTGAAGGTATGAGATATGGCATCCCTCTCCTTGTCGAGCGCTGCCGTGGCGAGTATTGCTTGGACCAGGGCGCGGAAGTCGGTCGGTAGGCGCGCGATGAGAATGACCCACGATTCTCCTGCTTCAGCAAATATCCTGGCGATACCTTTGAATTTCTCAGAGTCTTCCTCTTGCGCCGCTTCAGCGAGTTTGGTCTGGAGGTTAATGACCTGGGGATAGAGAATCATTATCGAGTTGAGAGTCTCGTCAACATCTCTGGTCTCAGCAATAAGGGCGCTCAAACACTCCACAGCGGCCTCGAATGGATCATCTAGGGACAGGTCTTCGACGATGATTTTGAGCAGAGGGGAGTTGATGATGGCATCCAGGGGTATCTCTCGTATCCAGGACGTGATACAGTTGAGCAACTGCGGGTTCTGGGCGGCAGCGGCTATAGAGGGTCAGTAGGAACGAGCTTGGCAAGGGGAAGTTTGAGCGTACGTGAAGAAGTGCCGTATCGGATGAGGAGTTCCAGGGCTTGTTGGGCGTTGTCGTCGATCAATTCGGTCGTCCTCATAGTCAACTCGTGTTCCTGACCACCACATATTAGACTACAACTCTACTATCATATGTCGACACCTTGGGGAATTGCCGTGGGCTGAAGACGGGGCGCGGCTCGTTCGGACGTACTGTGAGAGCGATCTTGCGTCCGTGTGTGACTTCTTCGGGGAGAACACGGAGAAAGTCCAAGACGCAAGGTAGCGTTGCTGGATCTGAACCGAGGGCGTTGACAACGTCTTTGAGGACATTCTTCCACTCGGTCATCTGTATGGCCAGATTCGCCAGACACACGCATAGCTGCAGACGTATGGGCTTGGGTCCAGCATGGAATATCGCCAGATTCCGCATGATGGACGCTCGGAGCTCTGGAAGCTGTGCGCGAGGCACTTGGTGGAGATCGTATACAATCTGGCACAGTCAGCATGTGCCCACGCTGCAGGAGCAACAACCCACCTTTCCCTTGAGTGTCGTGGCAGCAAAGAGCTTGGCGGCCGCGTCTGCTGAGTTTGCCTCTAGCATAGCCAGTGTGGTTGTCCATGCCTCTTCCTGTGACATATCAGCCCCTCACGCCTCGTGCAAATGTGCCCATACTACATACCGACTTCTGGAACTGTTCCAGAAACTGATGTGCCTGCTCCTTCTGTGCGCGATCCGCCTGTGACGCCATGGTATTGTGCGCCGCCAGCACAGGGTCGAAGACCTGCTGTCCGTTGGCAGCCATGGTGAGGGAATTCGAGGAGGTAGTGGGGGGAGACGGATGCGGATACTGCTCGGAGCAAGGCGGCGGGGTGAGTGTTATATTGCGCGCATCAAC